GGTCCATGCTCATCTTCTCCGTTTCGTTCCAATATTAACGGATGTCCCGAAGGACCACGCCCTCCTCTTCGTAGCCTTGACCCACAAATGAAATTAAAGGGGGGGGGGGGGGGGGGAAGTGAAAGGGGGGGAAAGAGACCAAACCGCGCATCGAGTTCACTAGCAACACCCATAACGATCATCGACCTTTTGCTTATTGCTCAGCTACCACCACAATTACCCTGAAACCACGGGCAGGGTCATGCTGACTACGTGTAGTCTTTTTATACGTACGCACCACACTTTCGCACTACCGTACTTGACTCCCCAATCAGCTCATAAAGCGCCAACCTCAAACAGGCTCACGACCGACTACCTAGCGCCACCCTCCACGCCTCCCTGAACAATTCCCCGCAGATCATACTGGTTCCGCTATCTGCCATCGAGGATGAAGCTACAGCTCTCTCCTCAGTGATCCGACTTCACTAACTCGTTGGCGACGAAGAGAAAAACACACACATCTTTCACCTCCAGGTGTGCACACGTAAGCACGTTCACGTCGGCATGACAAGCAAGAGCGAAAATATACACACATAGGGGGAAGGGACGACGATGAACACCAGATATCGAGCGAGCATTGGGAACTTACACTAAGTTGATGGACCCGCACCTGTGAATGCGCCTTCCCGCCTTGCTTCTGAAGTCGTGCGCAGCCACATCCGTTGCCATTAGTCCCCTCAAGAGAACCTCTGTCCGCAGCCGCGAGGGCACACACAGCGTGGCGCTGGGGCGAGAGCCCATGCCGTTCGAAGACCAACCACCAAGCTGCATTCGACAGCTGGCCGTCGCAACAGAACCGACAACGGCCGCAGCCGCACCCTTCGTAGCCATCGCCATAGCTGAACTCAGAACACGTTCGGTGACGAAGCACGACGGCGTGGACGGCGTTAGTGACGTCAATTGCGCACGAACACCACGTCCCCGTCGACGTTAGAGCCAGCCAGATGAAAGCACTGCCCAGCGGCAGCGCTCCTCCTTAGATAACGCAGACCACCAAAAAGTCCGTCGCGCCTTTCTTCACTGACGGACGAAAATTGAAGCCGCGACTACCCCACACCCTGCCACTTCCGTCCAGTAGTATTTGCACGGAACAGGCAGGCAGACACTTTCCTCTCGCTACTAGGAGGCGCGGGCCGCTGCCGTTCTGTGCCACGCCGACATCCCACTTACATGGCCATTGCCTATATATCTGCAACAGACCTCTACTGTTTTCCGCTCGCGATTACTATCTTACCGACCCTAGGGATTACCCGCCCGGCCCAGCCAATAGCGAGAGGGAACTTTGCCTGTCTGTCCTAAACACCTCGAAAGGAAGTACCGGTAGCCCGCTCAAAACCGCCCGGTTTCGACGGGTTTTCAAGTGACTGCTGAAACCCCCGCCCTGCGAGGCCGAAGAGGTTATGCGGTCGCAACCTACCAGGGGCCGGGTCCCAATCGCCCGCGTTTTCATTTCTGGCCGTTGACTTTCATTGTTATCTACGGTCGCAGATGACAAGCACGCGCCTGTGGGACCCTCCCCCACTGTGGAGCCAGATACGACGCCGCGACGGTCTCCACGCACAGATATAATTAACTGAACGCGCAAACCGTCCGATCTCACTCGCTTAGAAGAAGTTGGCCCTGCACTGCCGCAGCCTCCTGACAGGTCACAAGTAAAAGCGAGCCGGAAAAAGAACAAAAAAACAAAAAAAAGCGAGCGGCCTCAACTGTGCATCCATAAACTGTCAACAAACGGACCAAATGTCGAAAGCCGGTGGACAAGGCCGTCGCCCTTCCCAGAAAAAGAGTACAAGCCTTCAAACAAACTGCTCTTCCCTTTCCGTTCCCCCACGAACCTGCATGAGGGTGGCGTCTGCTATAAAGGGATGCTCTCATCACCTGCTGAAGTGTTTTTTTTTTTTTTTGTGAAAAACTTTTTTTTTTGGGTATAATTTGCGAAATACCCCTATAAGTTGACATATATGCCAAAATGCCCCTAAAAGATCTGGGTAGAGCGGAATACCCCTCTGACCTTGCCGGGCTGGGCCAAAAAAATAAAAAAATAAAAATAAAAATAAATTATTTTTATATTTATTTTATTTTATTTATTTTATTTATTTTATTTATTTTATTTATTTTATTTTATTTTATTTTTTTTTTGGAAAGCTTGTCCTTTTATTGCCAAGGAAACCGTATTCCTTTTATTTTTTATTTTTAATTCAGTAAAGAATTTCGATGTTCTATTTATTTTTCTGCATAACATAGTTTTGTTTCGGATTTTTTGGAATTTTTTTTGTTTTTTTTGTTTTTGCAGGGACCTTCCTTGATCCTACACAGGTCTGCTCCAGATAAAATAGGAAAATGGTATGCTACTGATGCTGGCCGATCACACAGAAGTGAGTCTGAAAGGTGGGCCAAAGGCCCGCACACCGCGGGAAAATCAACGGCGGGTGGGACCGCTTCGCCAAAAGCAAGGCGAAGAGAAAAACTCGACCTCTGTGAGACCTGACCCTTGTGCCGTGTGCCGCGTGCCTGCAGGTTCGCGTTTGCGATGAATGTGGCGAGCGGTCGGGGTCTGGAGGGCGCAGCTCGAGAAACCTCGCAAGCTATCGTTGCAGGGCAGACACCCATGACTTATACAGTCGCGGGTCAGGGCAGCGGTAGCGGTTGGACCAGTGAGGCTGTGCTCCAACCTGGGTAAGTCACATCAATCTTTCCTGGCCGTAGATGTTGCGCTGCTTCCTATAGCTCGTTGATGAATGTTGTTGTTGGTTGTTGCGATGATCTCGTCCGTATATGCTTAACTTGTGTGGTCCCAATCAGAGAAATAAAAAGTCGGTGTAGCGGTTCAAACCGTGATCCCTGTTGGTGAAAATGTGGGTTGGTGATAGTTGCGTGGTGGGGTTGTCGCTGTTGGTGCAGTGGTCAACCGGAGGGGTTGTCGTAGGCATAATGCTTGCATGGGCTGGCCACCTGGGACCCAGGCGGCCCGGCTGGTAGCCTAGCCTCTGACACAAAAAATGCTCTGCGAAATGCCCCTGGCATCGGTTTTGCAAAATACCCCTACCGGGTACTATCCATGTTTGCAAAATGTCCCAGTGCTTGCCAACTCTTCCTAGGCACTATTGCAAAAGGCCAAGGCCGAAACAGGGAGGTCCAGATTGCAAAGTTCTACACCCGCCTGACAGGGGCACAACACAAAGATTTCGGCCCAAAAGGGCATCCTGCTCTACCCACATCCTTCAGGGGCATTTTGGCATATATCTCAACTTATGGGGGCATTTGCAAATGATCCCTTCTTCTTTTTTTTCGAAAGGATTGTAACTTTTATTGCAAATATGGATAGAGGCCGGGAATTCCTCACACAGAAGCCGGAAATCTGGGACCATTACCCAGTTTAGGGTTGTGCTGGAAACCGGGTCCAGCATCCCTGAAGCATCCAATCTAATAACAATCCTTCCAAATAAAACGGTAAGCTCATGAACTCCAAATAGTCTTCCAAGTGTACTCTTTTGATACTAACCAAGGACCAAATATCTGCGAGCGCAGCCTGACACTGTCATCTAGACCGATTGCTTCGACATAATTCTACCATCCTCAGCCTTCTGCAATTGCAGACCAAAGCCAAGGTGAAAGTTCGAGGGTTTTTTTTTTTTTTTTTTTTTTTTTTGAGAACAACCCGAGGTCGTGGTAGGGGTGCTGATAAGAGCAGACACCGCTATCACTGTCGGGGAGGCTCCATCTATTGGTGGGGAGCTGGACCTGCTGGAAACCAGGTCAGCGTCCCATGACAACATGTTTCCTTGTTAACACAGACCTTTGATAGCGGTTACCGCTAACTGCATGGTCCATCTATGATGGAGACAGTTCATGAATAAGACCACACCCCTACTCAGTATCCTAAGTCACTTGCCCACAAGACAGCTGTATTTGGGTGGCACTAAACCCGAGTCCGTTGGCCTCTATTTCCTTTCACACTCATGGAGGCAGGCCGTACCCCCTCTGTATGGGTCCCATTGAGTGACCTCCCGTCCCCCC